TCATTATGGGGTACTGACAGTACATTTCTGAGAAAAAAAAATTAAGTCACGCAACTGTAGCATCAGACCATAAAACAACAAAATATTGTGAAAAGGGTCCAAGCTCTTTCTGAAACCACTGTTTATTTCTTATATTTTGTCTCTAATAAAACCATTTCAAGGAGTTAATCTTTAGACGAATGTTTCTGTCACAACGTTGTTCTGGATGTAGAAAAAGCAAACAGCTGGAGAAACATCACTAACAAAATGCTTTCTGGTGTTCCCCTCTACGTTGTTCACATTCACACCTGAGCCAGTATGTGATGAGAAGATGAGAGAAAACAAAACACTGTAAAACACTCAGCAACTCACTTGTCCTGCATGCTGGTCAACTGCTTCCTTTCTGACATGTTCGCTTCAGAGGTTAAAGAAATATACATCATCACGCTACACTAAATGCACTACTCTCAACATCAAACTCAAAACTTTTTTTGTGGAAATTAAAAAAGTGTAAACAACATAAAGTGCAACTTATGACAAGCCAAAAAAGTGAATGTGGCTAAAAAATGATGAGCAGCAGACTGATTCTATTTGAAAGAAGCAGATGCTTACTTTTATCGGTTTGTCAATGTCTCCTCCACAAAGAGACTGAAGCTGGATTCGAAAAGGTTTCCACGTTGGATTCAAGTTATTTTTCACCACCTGGAAACAGGAAAAATAGGAATTATTCATTAGCAGATTTCTGGATTGAGAACATGTTTCTAAATCAAAATTAGGCCTTGTTCACATGAAAACAGCCCACATAGCAGACAGGTGTGGGCCAGATCTGGTGTCCTGCTGGCCCTGCTGGCACGGTAAGTGGTTTGTCAACTGGAAGTGGGCCAGGTTCGACTATCATGGCACTGTTTTTAAGGTGATGTGAACTGGCCCAGTTGTGGTTTGATTTATGTGGTGCTGGCCCATGCATGGACTACATCTGGCAAACCACAACTGGGTCACCAAAGAGCCGTCATTCTTTGCCGTATCTGAGTCCGGCGTTAGAGTGCTTATTGCTTTGTGTTGGCCAGAACGGGGCCAGACAAATTTTGCTATGTATGACAGTTTTCCCCAAACAGTAATTTTTTCTTTACTATTTCCAAAGATATCCTTTTAGACACGGATCTGTTTCAAATAATGTTGGATCTATGTTAGGTCTGTATGTGGCGCTGTAACGCTGTTTCAAAAAATGCATCAMAAAGAGGAAACAGTTGATACAATTAGTGCAAAATCACACCTTCAGTTTGTCAGGTAGATTTGAGATGGGGTTTTGATGTGATAATTTGCAAAAGGCTGTGTTTATGATTATCTTCTCAGGTTGTATTCACACCTGATAGTCCAGTAGGCTCGGTCAGATTTGCTTCCATTTTTAGCTGGTGTGGTTCACATTCACGCTGCACTTTGTCAAACAAACTAGACCCTGCAAACAACCTGTTCG